AGATGGATCGGGGCCGCACGGGGACTATGGGAAAAAAATGAAACAAAAATCAAATGCCAAGTGCACCCTGCAACCAAATCGGAGAAACATTGAAGTCAGAATGCCACGGGATTCCAATCCCATATTTTTTCCATTTTTTCCCATTGCTTGTTTGATTGCCTGAGTGCCTCGATTCCATCTGCAATCTCAAAATAATCCCATTATTTATTATTTCCCGAGATAATAGCGTTAACAGGACCGGGACATCATAATGCTACAAGTCAAGGGCCCTTGCATCATGTTTCGTTCAGCGCAAGTCGCGTGGTTTCGCACATCTCTCTGTTCGGTGGTTGGGGCCCGCACCACATCGGGTAGCAATCTGGCTTGCAGCATGACTTGTAGCAGCGCCAGCCCCTGGACCTTGCTGCTATGCAGCAAGTTACAACGAATTGATGGATGATGCCACTTTCAGTGTAGGGTGTGGACAGTGTGGACCGTCACGATCGCTCGTACACTTGTGTGGCACCGCCAAGACTTGTTTTTGAAGTTGACAAGGCTGTTTGCAAGGCACACGCTTCGTCGTGCTTCGCCATGCTGCAGCCCCACATGCCGTAACATCTCCATATGTTTGGGACCTTAAGAAGGCCACGCGTTTCAATACATGCTACTCAAGCTTTGAATTCACCTTCGTACAGAGAGGTTCCTCGAAACGCCACATGCCAGCGGACACAGTCGGCTCATATTTCTTACCCAGATGGTTCAGTCCTTAAGCAATTGAACCTAGCAATGTCGAAACGTGTCTGCAACCTCGCAGCATTCCCGCACTCCCACACGACTTCAATACACGGCCTGCATGTAAAGGACTCATTCGCCGAGGTGCAACCCAGAGAGCCCAATACCCCTTAACTAATACTAAGGAATATACCTTAAATCATAATATAAAGGCCCCTAAAATTTAAGGTATATTCCTTAATTAAGGAATATACCTTAAATCATAATATTAAGGCCCCTATAATTTAAGGTCTATTCCTTATTTAAGGGGTCTTGGGCTCTCTGGGAAGAACTTGCCATAAACCCTAAAACCCTAAACCCTAAAACCCTAGACCCTAAACCCAAGCTCTTTCTAAACACCCCTGGCCAGAAGCTTGGGGGCACTGCCCATTGCAGGCGACAGGCATTCATTGCGGCCTCAGCCGGACAGGGTCCAGAGACTCCAATATCCCTTAATTAAAGAGTCTAAATTAGAGTAGGATCCAGAATGTGATTTAAGGGATATTCTGTAGGATCCTTAATATGATTTAAGGTATGTTCCTTAATTAAGGGATATTGGAGTCTCTGGGGCATGCCATGAACTTGTGGTAAGCAGGGTCCAGAAGACGGAAGAAAGGGTTTTCAAGTGGTCCTGGTCTTGGTTACCAGACTGACTCGGGCACAAGGTGAATCAGCGCAGAGTTGCGATGCAGCTGGCCTGACAAGGTTCCCAGAGAACCCAATATTCATTAAGGAATATACGTTAAATTATAGTAGGATCCTTAATATGATTGAAGGTATATTCCTTAATTAAGGAATATACCTTAAACTATAGGGGCCTTAATATTATGGTTTAAGGTCTATTCCTTAAAATTAAGGGGGATCTTGGGCTTCCCAGAGAGGTTCCCTGCCAACTGAGGCCGGGCACGTTGAAGGTAAAAGCATCCAGCTTGCTTGGCGAAGGCTCTGACGCGGCATCCTGCCAAGGTCGTGCTCCCAGAGAGCCCAATACCCCTTAACTAAGGAATATACCTTAAATCATAATATTAAGGCCCCTAAAAATTAAGGTATACTCCTTAATTAAGGAATATACCTTTAATCATAATATTAAGGCCCCTATAATTTAAGGTATATTCCTTATTTAAGGGGTATTTGGGCTCTCTGGGGAGTAAGTGCTGGTCGTAGGCGCACTATATCACCGAACGCAGCCTGGCTGGCTCTCTGGGCGGATGGGTGGTGGGTTGTTCCCAGAGACTCCAATATTCCTTAATTAAGGAATATTCCTTAAACTATAGTAGGATCCTTAGTTTGACTTAAGGTATATTCCTTAATTAAAGGATATTGGAGTCTCTGGGACATCACCGACTCAGCTTTTAGCAGAACGTACCACATCTCCTCACCCAGCCCAGAGCACTTCAGAAGCATCAACCTGGTGTTGGAATCCGACCAGCATCCCCCTCCCCCACAACCCTAAACCCTAAAGTTTAGGGTTTAGGGGTTTAGGGTTTAGGGTTTAGGGTTTAGGTAAACCATAGGGGCGCAAGGGCAGCACTTTGGCAAGGGCGACATGTGGGGAGCACAAGGATGAAAGAACGCAGATCGCGCGAATCGAGAGGCTGAAGCCAAAGTAGGGGACCCTAGTACAGCACCCTCTAAAGTAGGATCCTTACTGTAAGGAACCCCGTCTTGCGGAACCTAAACCCTAAACCCGTAAAACCCCAAACCCCAAAACTTAAAAGTTTCTGGAGGCATCAGGCTTAGGTTTGAAGCGAACAACACACCCGGGCTTGATCTCATCCATGGCGAACCGTTGGTGTTGCGACGTGTCGTTGTTACCCGAATCCGGCGGGGTTCTTCTCAGTTTTGCAGGGAACGTGCCCTAAACCCTAAACCCTAAACCTTATGCCCAGTCCTGAAGAAGCTGCAGGGCGCGAAGCCACTGGAGGCCTGGACAAGCAAACGGCTCCTGTTCACCAACGTCCATCGAAAATTCCTCAGGGTTTAGGGTTTAGGCCTTGGCCCTAAAATTGAAAGATGCCACCTGGGCTATGTGGGGCACGCACACTCAGGCAATAACCCTTCGCTTCCTCCGGCCAAGCCATGCAGGACCGAGTTGAGGCTGATGATGTCGGCAAGGCCAAGATGCCTGCTCAAGAGCATCTCATATGACAGTTTAGGGTATAGGTATAGGGTTTGGGGTATAGGGTTTAGGGTTTAGGCTTTAGGGACAGCTAAGATATGTAGAAACTGACAGTCTTGACCAACACACTATCTAAGCATACACCTATGTACACACCTGATTACCTGTTTGTTCATGCGTTGGTTTCGTGCATGTGTCACTCTGTGATGTTGTGTGCGAATGTAGGCATGCAGGTATATGAACATAGCGGTGAGTTACTACACATAAACCCGGTAAACAGCTCTAGGACTAGACACGTTAACAGACGGAGCATTGGATACAAAAGGGATAGACAGATATCGGGTGCATGTTTGTGTATCAAAACGTTCGACAGCTACACAGGACCCAGAGACTCCAATATCCCTTAATTAAGGAATATACCTTAAATCATATTAAGGATCCTACTATAATTTAAGGAATATTCCTTAATTAAGGGATATTGGAGTCTCTGGGGACCCTCGCACTTCCACCCGAAATGGCAATGCAAGAGAAGGCTAAACCCTAAACCCTAAACCCTAATAAGCCCTAAACCCTAAACCCAAAGGCAGCAGGCTGATAAGCCCGCGACGTCATGTGCTGCAGACAGCCCAGAGCCATCTCCCACCTCGGTCACTGCCATCCCCAGAGAGCCCAATACCCCTTAACTAAGGAAGATACCTTAAATTATAAGGGGCCTTAATACTATGATTTAACGTATATTCCTTAATTAAGGAATATACCTCAAATTATAGAGGCCTTAATATTATGATTGAAAGTATATTCCTTAATGAAGGAATAGACCTTAAAAATATGGGGGCCTGAATATTATGATTTAAGGTATACCCCTTATTTAAGGAATGTACCTTAAATTATATGGGCCTTAACATTATGATTTGAGGTATATTCCTTAATTAAGGAATATACCTTAAATTATAGGGGCCTTAATATTATGATTTAAGCTATATTCCTTGATTGTTGGGCTCTCTGGGCGTGTATCATCCCCGAAGGTAGATTATGCCGCCGACCTCGCCAGTAAAACTTCTGCGTGTCTGGGACAATTCTCCAAGCACCTCTGCCCAGAGACTCCAATATCCCTTACTCAAGGAATATACCTTAAATCATATAAAGGATCCTACTATAATTTAAGGAATATTCCTTAGTTAAGGAATATTGGAGTCCCTAGGTTGTATTCCCCCGAAAATCCCTCCATGGAGGCAGCCATGGGACGCTTGACCCGTGCTGCATGCTGCAATCATGCTGTTGTAAGCCACGTTGTTTGGCCTGGTGCCATGCGGATGTGGGGGTTTCCGAAAATAGGGGACCCTAATATGGTACCCCAAATAGTAGGATCCTTATTATAAGGACCCAAAATTATGGTACCCCCTATTTTCGGAAACTCCCATGTGAGAAGACGGATATTGAGTTGGGGTCGGTGCGGTCTCATTGCCCAGCGAGCCCAATACCCCTGAACTATCGAGTATACCTTAAACCATAATATTAAGGCCCCTATAATTTAAGGTATCTTCCTTAATTAAGGGGTATACTAGGTATACCTTAATTTATAGGACCCTAAACCCTAAACCCTAAACCCCAAGGTATCTTCCTTAGTGAAGGGGTTATTGGGCTCTCTGGGTCTCATGGCGCCTCACACCCATCTTTGACATCGCCGACACCAGACCTGAGTCCGACGCACCCAAAAAGGCGACGAGCCCAAAAGCGCGGTTTAGGGTTTAGGGCTTAGGGGTTTAGGGTTTAGGGGTTTAGGGTTTAGGGGTTTAGGGTTTAGGGGTTTAGGGGTTTAGGGGTTTAGGGTTTAGGGTCCCTGTCAGGCATGACCCAGAGAGCCCAAGACCCCTTAATTAAGGAAGATACCTTGAATTATAGGGGCCCGAATATTATGATTGAAGGTATATTCCTTAATTAAGGAATATATCTTAAGTGATCGGGGCCCTCCCTAATATTATGATTTAAGGTATATTCCTTAATTGAGGGGTATTGGGCTCTCTGGGGACAGGCTCGGTGGCTGGGCGAAGTCACGAAGGCATAATCTACGCGGCCGCAGACCCGTGTCCCAAGTTCCGTGCCAATCGCATCTTGCCACTTTGCGGCCCTGGACACTGGGCACTGAAGAGTTTCGTATCTTACGCGCAGCAGTTCTCACTTAAAAGCAAAACTGATGAACAATTTCGTTTTCGTCTGGGTAATTCACCAGATCTCTGCAGCAGCCATCGTACCTCGCGACTTTTTGTCACGCGCTTCTTCGGCCCACCGAGCCTTCGGTGGATCTTTTCCAAGGGCAAAAGCCAGAGAAGCCAATACCCCTTAATTAAGGAATATACCTTAAATTATATGGGCCTTAATCTTATGATTTAAGGTATATTCCTTAATGAAGGCATATACCTTAAATTCTAGGGGCCTTAATCTTATGATTTAAGGTATATTCCTTAATGAAGGCATATACCTTAAATTCTAGGGGCCTTAATATTATGATTTAAGGTCTATTCCTTAATTAAGGGGGTATTGGGCTCTCTGGGACCCTAAACCCTACACCCTAAACCCTAAACCCTAAACCCAAAACCTTAAACCCAAAACCCTAAACCCTAAACCCAAAACCTTAAACCCTAAACCCTAAACCCTAAAGCAAAAGCCAACCCAAAAGTCGCCAACTTCGAGCCTGGCGCAGGCCGTGATCCCAACGGAGAGAGCGACGACATCTGGCGTGCAGCCGCGAGATGGCCATTCCTTGACATTCGGTTTAGGGTTTAGGGTTTAGGGTTTACTTGACATCATCAGCTTTGAAACGGCCATGTTGAAAGGCAGCCACCTTAATAATTAGACTGGGGTTTTGGGGTATATGGAACCCCCAAAATAGTATAGGTAATTAAATCCTAAACCCGAAAGACCCTAAACGGTTGCCGAAGGCTCCTGCAGTTCTGCCAGCACTTGCCACCATGCACCCTGCCGCGCGAGGAGTTGCAACCTCCTGAGGGCTGGGGTACATCTGAACATGTGAACCAGGCTGCAGCAGCACAAGCTATAAGGACGATAGACGTGAAGATTAACAACATTTGGCGTCTTTAGATGTGCTCTTCACCTTGGTCGCACAAATCCGTATTCATTCGTTGTATTTCTCACGCCCGTGTCCACGTCCCGACCTCAAAACACAAGACCACCCCAGAATGGAAAGCATCGTTGAATGATCACGGCAGGGTCTGGGGCTGGTTTGGGCTTAGGGTGCAATCGCCTGTAATCGAGGACCGCCTCAACTCGAATCGCTCCTTATGATGCTTTGATGGGCCTACGGCCTACTTAAAGGATCATGGGACNNAGTCCCATGATCCTCCAAGTATGTTCGTCGGACATCATGTGCATCCTGCTGCGACTACCAACATCGGGTGTATCTCACATTGGTCGGCGAGAATGCACATCACCCCATTGCGGACGTTGCTTCAGGAAGCTGCACATCAGTGGCGAGAATTCGCATCAGCATATATCAGCATATTATGCATTATTATGTTGCACCCCAGCGCAGATGCTCCGATTAGTCTCCAATGAATCGAGGCCCTGGGTATCGAAATGCACTCGGGATGCAGGCAAGAACTGGCATCGATGATCAAACCTGGTTTCTCTGCCAGCCTGCCTGGCTTTAAAGACGGCTCTTCTGCGACCTTAAAACCTCACCAAAGCCTGCGAATTGCTGGCAAAGGCCAGGCCACCTGCCCTCCATGCCGGCCGTGAGGACAGGCCGTAACAACCCTCTCGTTGGCCTTTTTTCCACCTCCTCGCGACGCTAATGCCTCTGTTCCTCTTTCCTGCATATCCCGGACGCGAAAACAGCGGACGAGTCTCAACGGCTTCGGTTTAGGGTCTAGGGTTTAGGGATTTTCCCCAAATCCGAGGCTGTCCGTTTGAGTCGTTCTGCTGTCCCTTTCAATGAAAACAACTGCTGCCGGCCTGAGAACTTCACGCGAGGGCGTCCACCTGTAGAGAAGCCCAGGCTGTCGGCGGCTGCTACACCGATGATTCGTCTACGAATTACTGCCAGCATGATCCTCTCTCGCCCCGTCTCTGTGGCTTCATCCCTCGGCGCCTATTTTTAAACACCCGGATATTTAAACAGCTTAAACAGATCATTTGCACTAGGTCTAACAGCAGCGGCTTTGGGCCGCCCAACTTTAAAACATCCGGAAGTTTTGCTTCGTTCCCCCGCCACCTGCCTTCCATCCTTTGCCCTCCAGCCATCAAGCCCTGCAGCATTGCAGCCATCTCCAGCCCTCCAGCCTTCCCACCTTCCAACCCTCCAGCCTGCCGACCCCCTCCAGCCCTCCATTTCATTCTTTCTTCCAGCCTCCAACCTTCCACCTTCAAGCCCTCCACAGCCTTCCGGTGCTCCAGCCTTGCAGCCTTCTCCAGCCCTCCAGCCTTCCAGCTTTCTAGCACTCCAGCCTTCCAGGCTGCCAGCTTGCCGGCCCTTCCAACCTTCCCGCCCTCCCTTCAAGCTTTCATTCCTTCCGAAACTTCCAATTCAGCTTCCAAGCTTCCGGCTCAAGCCCCCCAGCCTTGCGGTGCTCCAGCCTTGCAGCCTTCTCCAGCCCTCCAGCCTTCCCGAAATAGATTTAAAGATTTGCATTGCGTGGCTGGACGGCTGGACGGCTGGAAGGCTGGAGCGCTGGAGCTGAAGGCTGGAGCGGCTATCGACTGGAAGGCTGGAAGGCCGAGGGTGGATGGAGGCTTGGAAGGCTGGAATGGAAGGCGGGAGTGGAAGGCTGGAGGGTTGGAAGGCTGGAGGGCTGGAAGGCTGGAAGGCTGGAGGGCTGGAAGGCTGGAAGGGTGGAGGGCTGGAAGGCTGGAAGGCTGGAGGGCAAGGCTGGAGGGCTGGAAGGCTGGAGGGCTGGAAGGCTGGAGGGCTGGAAGGCTGGAGGGCTGGAAGGCTGGAAGGCTGGAAGGGTAGAGGTGGAAGGCTGGAAGGCTGGAGGGCTGGAAGGCTGGAAGGCTGGAGGGCTGGAAGGCTGGAAGGCTGGAGGGGCTGGAAGACTGGAGGGCTGGGAGGGCTTGGAGTGAAGGGGGGGCAGTAGATATTTCAACTTCGGGATTTAAACAGGTCATTTACACTACCTCTGTCATCATTGGGCTTGGGCCGCCCTCCACATATTTAAAAAGCGTCACCGTACGGTCTTCCTTGTGGTCCGCCTCAGTGTTGACATGGTGAACAAGCCTCGGCAGCGAAAGGGTGAATCAGGAACGCTCATCACTTGTGCTCAGGCCTAGCTTCCGATACTGCGGCCCCAACCGCGGACGGTCGCGCCAAGGTCGTTGCTTGATGAACTTCACCATGGCTTGCACCGAGGCTCCCTAGCGGCTCGTTAACTGTGCACGAAAGTGTTGCTACTTCGTGCCAGGCTCAGGGTGACTCCCTAAGCTCCGAAGCCACAACGCGAGGCTCATGTGGCGAGGCATGTTTGCACCGACCATTTGGCAGAAACCAAGAGAGGAATGATGTAAAACGATCGCCGATTCCACTCAAGTTCTGCTTTCGAAAATGGTAGCCCTGTCCCACAACCTGCAACACAGACGCAAGACGCAATCGCCAAAGTAGTGGCGTCGACAAGTGGACTGTCGACACTGCCCCCCGGAAGTTGACACCTTTTTCGTCAGGGCCCTATCGTTTTTCCTGAAGAAGTGACACACGCAGAACTTGGTAGATTCGAGGCAGTTCGGCACCGCCGTGCCTCAAGCAAGCGACATGCTCTAAACGCTACTGTACACCTTACAACAGACAAGTCTTACTTCCCTCAAACCCGTAAAGAATGCAGTACACAAGACGATCCCGGACTTCTGTAGTCTTGGAGTCTTCGATAGTCCCAGTTGTGTTCCTCTAAGAGGTCAGCATAGGCCAGCTTTGGGTTTCAACAGCACTCCTCGTCCTGGAGGCTGGACCCGGGTGGCTCGGCTCTATTTGCAAAGCACTCGCACTCCATTTAATGGAGCCCGACTGAAGCATGATGGCCTCCTACGCCTTCGGCGCTGCCTGTGACATGAAGGCAGTATCTCGAAACTGCTCAACGTTTCGCAGATACGGTAGGAGATGAAGCTGCTGACTGATCACAGGTGCAGCGGAAAGCGCAGTGCAGTAATGACGCTCAGGGGGCGAAAACAACGTGTCAGCGCCTTGCGATGGCTGTCTGGCAGATGTTGTGTCAAGCTTTCTGTGTTGCTCTGCTGTAAAGCATCCTTGACAATGCTCAAAGCACGGTACTTTTGCGCATGTCACGTAAACCTTGGCATGCACGATGGCAGCCTTACCTTGCTGGCTTGCTGCTCTGAGCCGGCAGCGGGAGAAACTCAGTCGTCATCACTGTCAAGCTCCTCGCACCACAGAACTTCAAGGTCCGCTAAATTTCGATTCGATGCCCACGGAGCGAAGGCACGAGCTGTCCTGGATAAACTCCTGGCAATCTTCTACGATGATCGGGGACGCCTCCGCGGCCTCAAGCTCGGAGTGACCGAAATTTCACACACCTTTGGAGCTAAGCCTCCGTGTCGGCTGCGTCTGGTTCAGCCTCACGGCATCACAAGGCCATCGGGTGATGTAGGAGCCACGTCCACACACTGCCCAGAGAGCCCAATACCCCTTAATTAAGGAATATACCTTAAACCATAATATTAAGGAGGGCCCCAATAACTTAAGATATATTCCTTAATTAAGGAATATGCCTTCAACCATAATATTAGGGCCCCTATAATTTAAGGTATATTCCTAAATTAAGGGGTATTGGGCTCTTTGGGTGCGATGCTGCAGGCCTGCAGTTTCGGCAGCTCGTGTCCTGGGCTCTTCCGTCCCAAACTCCGATTGGCGCAGAATGAAAAGCAATATTCTGTCAGGTTCCTGGTTAAAACTAAACATATTATAGGGGGAAAAATAATTTTTCCCCTATAATATGTTTAGTAATGAAAAGCAATATTCTGTCAGGTTCCTGGTTATAAGTGTATGATAATATATTCCGCAGCCTAATTCTAATGGTTACGACCCTCATACTAACCCTACACAGCAATGCGATGGCCCTCTTACTTCGCTGAAGCTTCGAGTCTTTTGGATCCCCTCGGTGAAAGCAGAGGCCCAGCTAAACCCTCAACCCTAAACCCTAAACCCAGCCCTTCAAGGTCTGCTCAGCAACCGGCTGGAAGTAGGGGAGCCGTCATCCTGGCGCGGTGGTGAGGCGTGCCGACCACTTTCCCAGAGACTCAAAATTATCCCTTAATTAAGGAATATCCCTTAAATCATATTAAGGATCCTACTATCATTTAAGGAATACTCCCTAATTAAGGAATATACCTTCAATCATATTAAGGATCCTACTATCATTTAAGGAATACTCCCTAATTAAGGAATCCTGGAGTCTCTGGGTTTGTAGCCCAGAGAGCCCAATACCCCTTAAATAAGGAATATAGCTTAAATCATAATATGAAGGCCCCTTATACTTTAAGCCATATTCCTTATTTAAGGGGTATTGGGCTCTCTGGTAACATCGCAGATCCCTGCGCTCTTGGGAGCTAGGATTCGGGGGACCCTCGGGGATATAGACCCTCTCAATAAGGTCCCTTTTAAGAGAGCCAAAAGTAGGGTTCAGAAGGGGTACCCTTTAAGGGGTACCCCTAATTACTACCTAACAACTCTAAACCCTGAGCCCTAAACCCTAAACCCCTAATAATACTACCTAACAACCCTAAACCCCTAATAATACTACCTAGCTCTCTTCCTCCTCGTCATCGGAGAAGTCGAGCTGGAGAAGGCGCTGAGCCAGCGAGAGCCCCTGTGCCTGTGCAGCGGATCCCCGGCCCTTAGATGCCCAGAGACTCCAGTATCCCTTAATTAAGGAATATTCCTTAGTTATAGTAGGATCCTTAATCTGATTTAAGGAATATTCCTTAATTAAGGAATATTGGAGTCTCTGGGATGCTCTCCCCTCTGCTCCGCCGCTCCGCCGTACCTTGTCGGCGTAGCGCTCCGGCGCCGGCCCAGGTAAGGGCCCCGCCTAAGGTCGGGCTCGGCACATGGCGACGTGACTTTCATGAACTGGAAGCCCCGCCTCCAGTAGGGTTTAGGGAAAGTACCGATATAGTAGAGTACTCCTACGTATCTATAAGGATTCCTTTAACGGTTTAAGGTTTCTAGGGTTCGTTTAAGGGTTTCCTGAGCACCAATATAGTAGAAGCCCCGCCTCCAACCAGGCCTCGCCGTCCTCCCGAGGCGATGCCTGGTGAAGATGAGGAGCACCCCAGGGTCGAAGAGGGCAGGGCTTGACCGAACTGTCTTCGTTCTTACGGGACCCACAATGCTGAAGTCCCCAGAGACTCCAATATCCCTTAATTAAGGAATATACCCTAAATCATATTAAGGATCCTACTATAATCCCTAGGAATGCTGAAGTCTGAAGTTTTGGGATGCAGGCTGGTATGCTCAGGCCCATGACTTCTTCGGCGGCCTGTCCGACGGTTAGGCACGCTCTGGGACTCAAGAATCAAGAAGTCTGGGGTTAAGCCCTGGTGTCCACGGTCTTGCTACAACCACTACTACCATGCTACTACTAGTACTACTAGTACTACTTCTGCTACTTCTGCTATGTTACGTCGACTACTGACTACTACGACGAGGACTGATACCGTTGCAGGCTGTATCGCAAAACGGCCAAACGGCCAGCCTCTCCCAGAATGCCTACAGCAGCGGGGGTCGGCGCGTCGAAGAGCAAATTCTTGGAAGGCCTGCCACAGAAATTACGGTGCCCAGAGACTCCAATATCCCTTAATTAAGGAATATACCTTAAATCAGATTAAGGATCCTACTATAATTTAAGGAATATTCCCTAATTAAGGGATATTGGAGTCTCTGGGTGTGTACAGACCACAAGCGCGTGGTACTATGATGAGACTGAGCAGCGAAATGAAGGCATTTGTCAAGACCCATCTCTAACTGGCCTTCAAACCCCTGGGATTGAGTGCCACGTCGTCTCCAAATGCGGTCGATGATGGTGGGTTTCTGAAGTTGCAAGTCGTATCGCCGCCAATGGTTTGTAGATTTTGCCGCCTGCCCTCATTCTATGGCGAAGACTTCACTTCGGTGTGTCTCACTGTGGCATGCTGTGGCTGGAGGCCTTTGATCCGTAATCAAAGCTTTTCGTCGTCAACGCCGAAAGCCTTCAACATCTCATGTCGCGCATTCGTGCCTGTTGCCCGGCGTGAAGCCGTTCGACAGAAGGAGTTTCTGTGTTCACACGGCAGAAGCGAAACGTTTGGCGAAATGCTGTAGCTCTAGTAGCACCACTTGTCGCTCTGGCCATTAGATACCATTTATTATGACCATTTCAACCATCGCAGGACCACAAACTTTTGGCCATCAGTACTGTGACCAGCAATCTCTGTATCGGCCGCACGCTTTTAGTAGTCAAGCTGCCCCGATTTCTGTGTTTATCTACTACACGCCTTACCATCGACACTCTACTCACTATATAGTTCATTGGCTGACTGATACGTTCGAAACGTGTAATGCTCCCGCTGAGGATGATTGATGATTGATGCTTGATGATTGATGATGATGGTGATGATGGTGATGATGGTGATGAGGGTGGTGATGATGATGATGATGATCATGGCGGTGGTGATGGTGATGGTGACGAAGATGCGATGCCGACGATGATCATGAAGAAGTTGTGAAGGAGATAATGATGATAAGTTGCTCGGGCTGGTGACAGCCATCGGGGGGTTGGCGGCGGCGGAGGTATGCGAAGGTAGGCAGGTGCTTAGCTGACGCTTTCTGCTGCCGGTGACCACGGGGATGAACGCAACTTGTAGTTCTGCTATGTTCTGCTGCAGTTGTTCTCCATCGTGAATATGCCCAGAGACTCCAATATTCCTTAATTAAGGAATACTCCTTAAATTATAATAGGATCCTTAATAGTACATTCCTCAATTAAGGGATATTGGAGTCTCTGGGTGCCTAAACCGTAAACCCTAAACCCTACTCCCTAAACCCCTAAACCCTAAACATTAAACCCCTAAACCCTAAACCCTACTCCCTAAACCCCTAAACCCTAAACATTAAACCCCTAAACCCTAAACCCTAAACCTCCCCAAAGCCCTACTCCAAGGCCTTTGCAGTTTCTTTGGCAAGCGGGCAGATGGAAGCTGCTCCGTCCGGTCCGTCCGGGCGGAATACCTGCCAGGAGGCGAAGGTTAGGGTTTAGGGTTTAGGGTTTAGGGTTTAGGGGTTTAGGGGTTTAGGGTTTAGGGTCTGCGAATGGCTATGCAAGCAGATGATGACTAAGTTGGGTACCCAGAGACTATCTCTTAACTAAGGAATATACCTTAAAAATCATATAAAGGATCCTACTATAATTTAAGGGTTATTTCTTGATTAAGGAATATTGGAGTCTCTGGGTAGGTGAGCTTTCCGGCAGCTAACGAAACCGAACTGGCGAGTATCCCTCAACTTTGCCCCGAATGTCCCTGGCAGGGTTTAGGGGTTTAGGGTTTAGGGTTTAGGGGTTTAGGGTTCAGGGTTTAGGGGTTTAGGGTTTAGGGGATCAACCGAAGCTCTTACGAGTCTTCATCGAAGAGATCTGCGCAGGGCGAATTAGCTTCCACTCCAAAGCTTCTAGGCTCCGAGGCCCCGGCAAGCTCAAGTCCTCGCCGTCCTCTCATGAACGAGTTCAGCTATTCAGGTTGCTGTACATGCTGTACTCCGCCCGGACAACAGACTTTGCAACACAAAGTGCAGCAGGCTTTGCGGGTAATGCCGGTCCTTGGTCTCGGGGAGGTCCAGCTTTATGCAATAGGAGACCTGCAGAGTTTCAGGCGTCAGAATTAGGTCCCCAAGCCCCATAGTAGTTCCTTTTTGGGGTTACCTTATAGGGTTCTATATATGAACCCCAAAAAGGAACTACTTTAGGGCCTAGGTGGGGCTTTCAACAAATCTCAGTCCAAGAGCGGCAGGGGCTGACTTGAAAAGCGGCATCCCTGCACTCTTCACCTCCATAGGCTGGTTCATGGGCGCCATGAGCGCTTCCGTTAGTCCAGGAACCTTGAAAATCCCAGAGACTCCAATATTCCTTAATTAGGGAGTATTCCTTAATTTATAGTAGGATCCTTAATACAATTTAAGGTATATACCTTAATTAAGGAATATTGGAGTCTCTGGGAAATTGGTTGACTCTTGCTTCGACCATGACCAGACCTGCTCAGCTATGCCATGCCGCTCCAGCTTAACATGGGACGTGTCACGTTTGCTGTCCCTGCGGGGAGTGAACATGTACGGTGCACCCCAAAAGTAGCGGGCTGCTGGCTCGATGCTAAAGCTTCGCGGCGGAAGGAAGTGCCCTTGCACAACGAATGACTAATATTGACTAGCAGTCGTGGAATCGATGTCACGAGCTCGCTCATGGCAGGTTCATCAAGCAGACAGACGCAGAAACAGATAGAGTCACAGACAGATACACAGACAAACAAACACACAAACCGCGGCACCCCGCGACCCATCATGAGAGCGCTGAGTTCACGCCTGCCCTTGCTTTTGGGGGGTCGAGGGCGGCTGTCTTTGGGTGGTCTGGACAGCCCGAGTGGTGCTAAGAGTGACACAGGCCAGAGGAAGCAAGCCACTGGGGCAGGCAGGGGATTGCCAGTCATGTCCGGGAACTCTGAGTTTGGGCAATCTTCAGCCCCCTCCGGCACAAACTTCGCCTACGGCTCGCCGCAAACATAGCTTTACGACAGAGGCGGATCAGGCGTTAGTCTCGGGGAAGGGATACGGCTTCTGCTTAAACAGGTGGGTAGTTCTCTAAATTAGGGTTCTGTTTGGGGTCCTTCTAAGAAGGGTGCCGTACTGTATTGGGGACCTAAAAAGGAACCCTAATTTAGAGAACTACCCAGGTAGATATCCAGAGATGCTCTCCTGAACGCAGCTTCTCACTTTGTCGGCTTGCGCCTCGGCACATCGAACAGTTCTCACTGATGTCCCCGGAGAGCCCATTAATTATGAAACCCCCTAAAACCCTAAACCCTAAACCCCTAAACCCTAAATTTCGAGTTTCTATTGGGGGGGCGTCCCCTTGTCGCCTCCCCACAGCCATGGGAACCCAGAGACTCCAATACTCCTTAATTAAGGAATATCCCTTAAATCATAATATTAAGGCCCCTATAATTTAAGGAATATTCCTTAATTAAGGAATATGGGAGTCTCTCCCCACAGCCATGGGAACGGTAGCACCCCCCCCGTCTCGCCCGGCGCCGGGGTCTCCTCGCGACCCCTTTATTCTGGTTTAGGGTTTAGGGTTTTGGGTTTAGGGTTCCCATTCAAATCTGTGATTTTTCAGGTTCCTGCCCCTGCCCCTGCTCGCCATGAGTTTCGGCCTAAACCCTCAAAGGAATAGGTTTGGGCGGCTTGGCCGCCTTAGACGGCGCGGGAAAGAAAGATAAAGCCTTCTACCCAGAGACTCCAATATCCCTTAATTAAGGAATAGACTTTAACTCAAATTAAGGATCCTACTATAACTTAAGGGATATTCCTTAATTAAGGAACCTTGGAGACTCTGGGTATAGACAGGCTGTTGCAGCTCGTCGCCATGGTATGTACGATGCACTCGACACAACCTTGTCGCAAGACACCGTCGAGTACGCGCTATTCCACCGAAAACCCTAAACGAGTTTAGGACCCTTTAGGATTTTAGGG